GTCTCTAGTTCAGAGTTTTATGGTTTATAAGTTATAAGTTTGGTTATAAGTTCAGTAACCCCTAAGTTAGAGGAAGAGTAGATTTTGCAAGTTAAAATAGTATACATTAGAGAGACAGAGTGACAGGAGGATAGTTAAAGTACTACACAATACAATAATACAAAAATTTTGTGAAAAAATTGTGAAAATTTTGAGGGAAAATATGTGACAGGAAGGTGCAAGATTTGCCGTACAGAGCTGTCCTGGTCTGACCCTGGTCTGGTCCTGGTTTAGTTTCTATAGTTCCAGTTTTGATGCGGAATTTGTGCGAGCATATAAGTATACCTAAAACTTTTATTGCACATAATAGTACTACTACTACAAAACAGTAACACTATAATCAGTTTGATGCTATAAAACTAATAATGTTCACAAGTGGAGTGTTTAAAATGTTCCTGTTTAACCCCAAAATCAAGTGTGATATTAAAGTTTAAGTTTAAGTTTAGACTTTTACAAACATGTTCTGAAACTCACTGACTCTTGTACTATAGTTTATGTGTTCAGAATGTAGTCTTCTCTCAAATGTTAATACTAAAACATAAATTGTAATTTTATCATAATTTCACTGTTTATCAGAAAAATTGCACTTCGATATTTTGCCAAAATCATTCAGTCCTAAACCTAACCTAATTGCGGCACCCTGTCCTTTCTACTGCGGTAACCTGATGGTCTACGGGGCGAACCTCCAGGCCCGTCTGACAAGTCCTGGTTCAGTTCTGGCTTAGTCCTGGTTTAGATTTGGCTTAGTCCTGATTTAGACCTGGTTTAGTCCTGGTTTAGTTCTGTTTTAGTTCTGGTTAAGTCCTGGTTTAGTACAGTTTTAGTCCTCTTTTGTCCTGGTTTAGTCCTCCTTGTTCAATCCTGTTTCAGTCTTGTTTTAGTCCTGGTTTAGTCCTACTCATTCATTTGTAGTTTAGTCCTGGTTCAGTCCTAGTTCAATCCTGGTTCAGTCCTAGTTTAGTCCTGGTTCAGTCCTGGTTCAGTCCTAGTTTAGTCCTGGTTTAGCACTGGTTCAATCCCGGTTCAGTCCTGGTTCAGTCTTGTTTTAGTCCTGGTTTAGTCCTCCTCATTCATTTGTAGTTTAGTCCTGGTTCAGTCCTGGTTCAGTCCTGGTTCAATCCTGGTTCAGTCCTGGTTCAGTCCTAGTTTAATCCTGGTTCAGTCCTAGTTTAGTCCTGGTTTAGTACTGGTTCAATCCCGGTTCAATCCCGGTTCAGTCCTGGTTCAGTCCTGGTTTAGTCCTGGTTTAGTACTGGTTCAATCCCGGTTCAGTCCTGGTTCAGTCCTGGTTCAGTCCTGGTTTAGTCGTGGTGCAGTTCTGGTTCAGACCTGGTTTAGTTCTGGTTCAGTCCTGGTTTAGTCCTGGTTCAATCCCGGTTCAGTCCTAGTTTAGTCCTGGTTTAGTACTGGTTCAATCCCGGTTCAGTCCTGGTTCAGTCCTGCTTCAGTCCTGGTTTAGTCCTGGTTCAGACCTGGTTCAGTCCTGGTTTAGTCCTGGTTCAATCCCGGTTCAGTCCTAGTTTAGTCCTGGTTTAGTCCTGGTTCAATCCTGGTTCAGTCCTGGTTCAGTCCTGCTTCAGTCCTGGTTTAGTCCTGGTTCAGACCTGGTTCAGTCCTGGTTCACTCTACTACTACTGCACTAGTTATAATGTTTCCTCATCATAAACAGACCTGGAGTTGTGTTTTGTTTCATTCACTCATTTTTAACACACAAACCTGCATATTTAAGGTGAGTTCTTCTCTCAAACAGAAAACACTCTGTTCCACCTTGTGATGTCATGTGGTGATACAGGAAGTGCTTCAAAATCCATACACCTTCACTTATTTGGATCATTTCAGCCCTGGAATTGCCAATCTCTACTGAACAAAAGTTAAAAGGTAACAGTTAAATTGAAAACACAGACTAAGCAGGATTACTCAAACGGGTGTGAACGAACTAAAACGCAACTCCAGGTATGTTTTTGATGAAGAAACAACATTCTGACATGACTTAAAGCTCACAAGAGTCAATTCAGCGTAATACGAGCCCTTTAAGTGTGCTTTGTTGGCATGAGCTGCAAATGACCTGAAACCAGCAGCAGACGTTTGAGAAATGTTTGTGAACCGGAGAAAAAAAAAATCTCCAGCTCCTTCTCCGCTCGCTCAGATCTGTTGTAAAAATACTTTGAATCGTTGAGAATTTATTTAAATCTGTGTGAATCTAAAAGAGGAACAGCCGACCTCAGAATCTGAAGGAGACGGGACAGTAAACACCCAGCGGTACTCGGAGCGGGCTGGGGCGACATACAGGAAAAACTGTGTGGATAAAAGTAAAAGCAGTTTAATGTGCTATAAATATATGGCACACTTCTCACTAAGTTCATATTTGAAGGCGCTGTACGTAATTTTTACAGTTTTACCGTACAGTATTGTGATTCACGAGTTATAAAAGTAACAAATTACTGTAATGCGTTGCTTTTTGCTGTAACGCAGTAATGTTACAGCATTACAGAGAAATTTTTTTAAATATTTTACTCGGTACAAATGTCAGTACCGTGCGTCACAATGCTTTTTTAACCTGGATTGAAGTGGTGGGTTTTGTGTTTTTCTTCATACAAATTCTCTAAAATCACGGCGATATCAGCAGCAGTCGGACGCCATAGTTACGGTTCTGAATGTGGAGACGGGCCCGGAGATGCACCCGCGTAGACCGTCAGGTAGTCCTAGTCCAAGATTAGTCCTGGTTTAGACCTGGTTTAGTCCTGGTTCAGTTCTGGTTCAGTCCTCCTGGTTCAGTCCTGGTTTAGATCTGGTTTAGTCCTGGTTTAGCTCTGGTTCAGTCCTGGTTTAGACCTGGTTTAGTCCTGGTTCAGTTCTCGGTTCAGTCCTAGTTTAGTCCTGGTTCAGTCCTAGTTTAGTCCTGGTTTAGTCCTGGTTCAGTCCTGGTTTAGTCTTGGTTCAGTCCTGGTTTAGTCCTGGCTTAGTCCTGGTTTAGTCTTGATTCAGTCCTGGTTCAGTCCTGGCTAAGTCCTGGTTTAGTCCTGGTTTAGTCTTGGTTCAGTCCTGGTTTAGTCCTGGTTTAGTCCTAGTTTAGTCCTCCTGGTTTAGTCCTGGTTCAGTTGTGGTTTAGTCTTTGTTTCAGTCCTGGTTCAATCCTGGTTTAGACCTAACTTCGGTTCAGTCATAATTTAGTCCATATATAGTGCAAAGTTCAGCATCTTCACACAGTTGTTTTGGTGAGAGTAACTTAAAGTACTTCAGTAGTCGTGTAATGTCTTATATTTTAAATGCAGTAATATTTTAATGTAACAAATTACTCTGAAAAGACAGTAACAAGTGATAAATAACACATTACAGTTTTGAAGTAACTTGCCCAACACTGTTACTGTAAATAAAGATGTACATGTCTTATGAGGTTAATATATTTTTGTCATTTATTTTATTATTGCATTGTAGACAGCCTGCTACCAGCACAATTCCATGTAATGTTCACCAGGAAGACATTTACTAACTATATCTCCATGGCGACAAGCAGGCCACACAACAGGCCAGGTTACAGGTCAGCTCTATGGAGAAGAAGACCCATTCACAGTAATAATATATGTTTTTACTGCTGTTTTGAGAAATAAAACATAACTGAATAAATATAAACTTTTAATAAAACAGCAGACCCTTGATCAGAAAAGTTGTGCAGTTAAAATGTACGTTTATTTTATTTCACAGGGGTTCAGTTGATATAGACGTACTATACTTATTTTCGTTAAGCTATTGATATTTTATTTTTATATTTTATTCAAACTATCTCAACTTTATTTTTGATAACTCTTTTCTCTTTTGACTCTTGAGGATGAATAAAAGTAATTCAGATTCTGATTTAAAGCTCCTATTTTACATAAAAATGACCCTCATGAGTATGTAGCTCCTTCATGAAAAACATACATGGAGTTATGTTTTGTTTCATTCACACATGTTTGAGTAACTCTTTATTATTAGTCTGTCTACATCTCCAAAGCTCAAAATGCGCTGTTCCACCTTGTGATGTCATATATTGGTAGTTTTCAAGTTAACAGCTGCCATTTGTTCAGTAAAGATGGACAATTCCAGGTCTAAAATCATCCAGATGATTCTAGTGAAAGTGTGTAGAGTTTACAAACACAATAGAGCACTTCCTGTATTACCACATGACATCACAAGGTGGAACAGAGTGTTTGAGAGAAGAACTCAGTGTAAATATGCAGGTATGTGTGTTAAACATGTGCGAACAAAATAAAACACACTCCAGGTCTGTTTGTAACAAGGAAATACATTATAACAAAGATCAGAAAATATCGTAACATGGCCCCTTTAATTTAACATCACATATTACCTGACATTTTCTGAATAAAAATTGTTCGTAAATATTGTTTTTCAGAAAATTGACAAACAAAATCGTATTCAAAACCTGAATCCAGAGGAGATCCGTGAGAGAGTGACCTGAGAACGCCTGGTCCCAGATGTGTGTATAACATGTGCTTTGAGCTGCTACACAAACACACACAGACCAGTGCGTTCATGCCTCAGTGACACACACAGCACACGGCAGCCATCTTTCAACTGTCAGATCTGCTCTACAGGACACAATGACGGAGACGAGATCATACACGTAAATCACAGTAGAAGGAGTACAGGGGCCCGGATTTAAAGGGCCTGTATTACTCTGTCTTCTGATTTATGTTGTAATGTGGTATCCTCATCACAAACAGGCCTGGAGTTGTGTTTTGTTTCATTCACGCATGTTTAAAGCACAAACCCTGCGCATTTAGGCTGAGTTCTTCTCTCAAACACTCTGTTCCACCTTGTGATGTCATGTGGTAATACAGGAAGTGCTCTATTGTGTTTTTAAACTCCACCCGCCTTCACTAGAATCATTTGGATGAGTTTAAATGATCCAAACTCAGACTCCTGAACCAGCGGGGAACAGCTCTGGTTCAGGTCAGTCTTACATGATCTGGAGTGGGGAGTGGTACCTGAGAAGCGCTTTCCCCGGGAAGAACCACCTGCACGGAGTACGGATCACTCAGAACAACATATAACCAACCAAATGGGATTCGTGCTTCTGTCTGGATGTTTTGCAAAACCTCAATACCAGCCGCAGTCCTCGAGCACAGAGGACCAGACTAACCTGCCCAAACCTGTAGACCGCAGCGTATTCTCACTTTCGCTGCATGGATCCCGTGTGCAGAGGTGGGCACGGAACCACTCGGACCCAGTCCATTGCGCAAAGGTCTTGCTCGCCCCTGTCTGGAGGATGGAGCCTCTGGACCTATCACAGGACACCAATGCACGCAGAGAACAGCACGAAGACCGAGGATGGGCTGCGCGGTATGGGGCGTTCTTTTTTATGAGTTCATGATGATAACTTGGGATGAGGACGGCTCGCAGTGTTAACAGGAAATATCAGTACCTTTCGCAACTGGAGGTCCCGCTGTTTCCCCGGGAAACACAGGCACCGTGAAACAGAGATATGGGAGATATCGAGCTGACCCCAACACAAACATGGTACAAACTTTTTTCACCAATTTGCAATGCGTCATCATGTCAGAAGGGCGACCCAGTGAGCATGCACTGAACGACCGCAATTATTTTTAAGAGGATTAAACATGATGATACATGATCACAAAATAAAAAAAAATTTGGCTTTAAAATTGGAATAAACCATCCACTTAATTTGGATTTAAATTTAGTTTTGAATAAGTTTAATTCCGAATAATCATTAGGAATTAAGTGTTTACATCTTTTTTTGTCAATCTTTACTCAACAAAAGGTAGCTGTTAACTTGAAAACTACCACCTCATGACATCACAAGGTGAAACAGAGCATTTTGCGCTTTGGAGATGTAGACAGACTGATAATAAGAATTACTCAAACATAAGTGAATGAAACAAAACACAACTCCAGCTCTGTTTTCGAGGAGTTATGGCATTCTAACATGCACTACCATCCATTAGAAAAGTTACGTAGTGCATCTTTAACTTATAATAATGTAAACTAGGCTTAGAAAAAGTAGAAATATTTGGTCAAATGTAGCAGAGTTTACAAGGACAGAATGACAGAACAACAAAACAAGACAAATGTAGAAGTATGTCTGGTTAAAAATGCATAAAATTGTCTTCTGTTTCTTAATAATTTGGCAATATTGCAGCTGGATTACAAAGTGAGATGGTACTGGACTTCTTTCGGGGCTGTACACTTTGAAATGTCTCCGTCCTTGAGCCTTGCGTCCATAGGTGTGTGTATGTGTGTGTGGTGTGTGCGGTGTGTGTGGGTGTGTACACAGAGCTGCATGCTTTAGTGTTGTGACGAGTGGGTGTGGGGCAGGCTCAAAGCGAGGCCTTGTTACCCTTTGCCCCCCCTTCACCCTCCCTCGCCCCGTCTCTCCTCCCTCTGCCCCTCCTCACTCCCTCTCCAAGATTAAGATTTGCAAGATTAAGAAGTCAAGTATGAAAAAGTAAAAGTAGAAAAACTGAATGTAATGGTTTATTTTACAGTCTATTCAATAATACTGCAATATCTGAACACACTTTAGCACTTTTCTGACTGATTTCCCTGTTCATTAACGTAAGATTAGAACCACTGGGTTAATTTCAGCTCTGGGATCACCAATGTCTGCTAAACAAAAGGTAAAAGGTAACAGTTAACTTAAAACTGCACATCAGAGGGTGCACAGACAGCCTAATAAAGCAGGATTAGTGAAACAAAACACAACTCCAGGTCTGTTTTTGAGAACTAGGGATGCAGCGATCCAGCTTTTTCAGTTCCGATAACGATACTCGTAACAATACTGATAATGATTTCCTTAAAACACGGTTAATTTATCACACAAGAGATCCAGTGATGTTACATAACTGTAATATATTCTTTAAAAGCCATGAGCTGCAACAAATATAGAATGAAACAATAATAATTAGTTATAGAAGTTATTTATTTTACCCTCTAAAGCTCAAATCCTACATAAAAATAACAATACTCTTTAATATATTGAATGATAAGTTGGTATAGTAATTATTGTCGGGCCTATTCAAACCATCTAATGTAAGGTTGTTAATAACTACTGAACAGCTTTGTATGAAAAGTTAAAATATTTACTCCAAAATAATCTTATTACATCCATTAAAAGCCAGACTGGGCTTAACCAATATCATGGAACCGATGCCCAATATTTGATACTGTTTTCAATATCAGTGCATCCCTAGAGGTAACAACATTCTAACGTGACTTAAGGCTCCTTCCACACTAGTATGTATCTGAGTCATTTTCATTGCAGATGCAGTGTTCGTCCACACTAATCCGATGGAAAACAGCTCCAGAGGCGGCACTGTGTGGACGCCTGAAAACGTTGATACGCTGACATAGGAGCTCTAGTCGTCATCCTTATTGGACCACGTCAATGTAACTTGCTCCTTCCTGATTCGAAGGATTCGTGACATCGGTCATGTGACGCTAATGTGGAAAACAGCTTAAGAAAAACAGAGACAAACGGGAAACAGCGGAGATAGAACTATTTGCACAGAACAGACTCAACATCAGCAGAACACCCCTCTGTCACAGAAAGAACACATATATTCCACTGAGTCATGTCCTTTTTAAGTCTGACAGAAGCTGACCTGACAGAAGCTGAGCGAGCTGTTTTTTGAGCTCTTAGTTTATGCAAATTAGCCATGTGGTTTTAAGTTTTGTTTCTGTAAAACGTAAACAAATATGCTCAAATCTGTGTGGACAGGGAAGACTTGCGGACACAGAAACAATGTGTTTGGATGCAAATCATTTCCAATATGGTAATATGGTGATAAAGTGATTTGTTTCAGTGTAAACGTAACCTAAAGCTCACAAGAGTCAGTTTTGCCTAATATAGGACCATTAACATGATACAAACAGTGTCTAGGATGGTATAGTGCAGGATTCTCCAACCTTTTTCCTGCCGTGAGTTACCTTTACGAAACAAAAATGCCAGAGAGCTACTCATTTTAGCGTCCGCAAGAAATTGAGACGATTATAAGAAAGAGGACGAGCCTTTGGGCACAGTTAGACGCCAATAAAACACAAACCACTGTCCATTTATTAGTACACAAAGTTGGGCACAAATTGGGGCTTCCCTTGGCGAGCTACTTGGACGGGGGTGGAGAGCTACTGGCAGAGTTACTGTTTGTGATGAGGTAACAACATTATAAAATAGATCAGAAAATAGCGTCATGTGGACTTTAACTGAACTTACTGTGTCAAAAACTTGATTTAAACTGTATGCTATTATTCTCCGTAGTTGACAGGTACTGTATGTAGTATTTGTTGTCATATCTTGCTCTATTGAGTGGAAGTGAAGTGGACATGTCGAGGCACACTCCATCTGTTTAATAACCATAAAACTGCTCACACAAATATTATCATTAACTTGGAGGTAAACCGCAGGAGCCGGAGCGTGCACAGACCGGAGATACTTCAAAACACTACACAAAACAAGTACTAGTACCTCCGAGTCATGGTACTGTTACATAAATGTATGCAATACGATCATAAAACACTGCAATCAACTTATACTGCGTCTGTCGCTGAGCTGGTTCAATCCCTCCAGCATTGCAAACTGTTCTTGTGTCCTTTGGCAAGACTAAATACTGTCATGGGAAAGTGAAAGATTGTGTCATTTGTGATGGTTGCAGATCTCGCTGTTTCCAATTGGCAACATTTCTGGAGTTTCAGAAGGATGAAAAATGAGAATGGTTGTTATAATGATTAACAAGTGAACTTTTATTTATTTCACATTTATTTAACCAAGTAAAATATTAAAGGGCCCATAATACGCTGTTGCCATCTTCTGTTCTATGTTCTAATCTAATGTTTCCTCGTCACAAACAGACCTGGAGTTGTGTTTTGTTTCATTCACACATGTTTAAGACACAAAACCCCAGATTTAAGCTGAGTTCTTCTTTCAAAATGAAAACAACAACAACAATAACAACAAACAAACCAGAAAAGCACCTTCCACCTTGTGATGTCATGTGGCAATACAGGGAAAGCTGCACTGTGTTTTTAAACTCCATACACCTTCACTAGAATCATTTGGATTGTTTCAGCCCTGGGACTGCCAATCTCTACTGAACAAAAGGTAAAGGTAAAAATTGAAAACTACCACTTCATGACATCACAAGATGATGCAAAGCATATTGAGCTTTGAGATGTAGGCAGACTCATAATCAGAGGTGGGGACTAGCAAGTCGTGACTGGGACTCGAGTCAGACTTGAGTCACTATTTTTAGGACTTGAAGCATGACTTGATAAAATGGACTAAGACTTGGGACTTGACTTGGACTTGATGCTAAAAAAAATATGTTTTTAGAAAATACTTTTCTCTTTACAGTTGATAAATGCGGTAATTCATTTTACAGGAACAAACTAGAACATGTCCCTCCCACTTCTCTGTTTGTTACTTTCGATGGAACTGAAGTACTGTGATATGGTGTCATCAAATGTACTACAGTAATATACAGAACAATACAGTACAATACAGAGCGAAGTACAGAGAACATGATCCTTCATGACAAAATAACTGTAGCACTTTTTAAATCTGAATTCTTTCTATTCTGACAGTAATGATTCACATTAAGATCTTGATAAGACATTTAAAAGGAAAATGGAATGTACCATGACTATTTAAGTACAATTTAGTTTAAAATTCATATAAATTGCAAAACTCTAAGCTGTATTTGATTCTTTGGTTTAAAGACTTGAAATGACTTGAAGCTCAAAGCAGACGACTTGGACTTAACTTGGACTTATGGGCTCAAAACACCTCTGCTAATAATAAAGGATTATGTGTATGTGAATGAAACAAAACACAAGTCCAGGTCCAATGTGTTTGTGATGAGGTAACATCATTCTAACATGACTTAAAGCTCACAAGAGTCACTTTTGTGTAATATAGTCCCTTTAAGAACAAGCCTGTTTGCCTGGGGAAGGATCAAATAATTCAGATTTCACTAAAATAAAGTTTACAAAGTATTTCTACTTCCACTGTAGTTGTTTTACTGCTGAGTCCGTGGTTAGTAGTACTTTCTGTTCTGTTATATGCAATCATTTGAGAACTTTTTCCCACTCAAACGATATAATTTATATCATATGATTTAGTTTTTTATTACTATTGTTAATCACTAAAGCAATGTTCCAAATTTCATCATTCTGAAACCCATGGTTAGGCCTACTACAACTGCTACTATACTTTTAAAA